CACAATTAAGAGAAGAAACAACAACAAAAAAAATTCGAGAGAGATCATACACACATACACATACACCTTTTGTCTTTCACATCTGTCATCGGCATTTGTTCAAAACAAAATAAAAAATAAAAAAAAAAAACAAAACAAACACTTTAATACAAACAGTGGTCTTTACTCTGTGATCAACGACTTTACTCGTGTGATAAACGAGTATCCGTTTTTGTTTATTTTTTTTCTTCTAAACGAAATCAAAAATATATACACATAAAACTATGATGATGACCATGGATCAACCTTGTCCTGGTAAGAAAGATCTAAAAAAGAAAAAGAAAATTGTTTAAAATTTTTTATCTTTAGGTTTCGGTGATTTTGGCGCTTATTCTTCATCTGATCCATTTACATCGAATCAATCGACATCATCACCTATTAATAGTGATCCAGATGTTGATTGGAGTGTATTTGAGAATGCTGGTATATAAAAAAAAAAAATTTTTTTTCTATTCGAAATAAATATATTTTATCTTTTTCTAGAACGATATTTATTACGTGATGATAGTGCATGGATAACACGTTTAAGTAAAGATTTTTGGTGGAATCTCGAACGTATATCTGAAATGATAACATCAGATTATACACCTATACAACAAATAAATAATAATGGTACATTTAATCGACCATCATTACCAACACAAAAATTTCAACAACAACAACAACAACAATTTATGCAATCAGTTGTACCAACAAAAACTTATCCACAACAACAACAAGTACCTTCACCAATGCAATTTACTGGTGTACCACCACGTAAAATAGTTGGTCAACGTACAATACAACAACAACAATTATCAACAAATAATTCTTATAGAAATAATTCAATGTTTAATAATGGTTTTACATCACCACCACCATCATCATCATCTTCATCATCATCATCAGGTTCAACGATTGTTCGACCAACGAATAATAATAATAATAATAATCATAATAATATTATGAATTCAAATATAAACATTCCAGATAAATCAAATTTTTTTCAAGCTTTTTCATCAATGTCAATTGCTGGTGGTAATCATGATCAAGATATGGAATATAATCCATTTCAATCAAAAATATCTTTTGATAATAATATGTGGGGAAATAATTCCCAACAACCAATCCCGTGGCAATAAAAAAAATAATATATATATATATATATATATATAGACAACGAAAAAAAGAAAAAAATACAAAGTCAGTCAAACGTATCTCATACTTTTCCTTTTCCCATTTTCTTTTTTTTTCCTCTCAATCAATTCTTTCCTTTTTCTTTTTTTTTTTCTTTTCGTTTGTTCTATTTCGACAAAAAAAATATGCGCACTATTTGTTTTCTTTATCTCTTTTTTTCCTGTGATTTATTCTACTACAACTCTTCTTTCTAATAGTAGTTAGCCGTGTGCGTGTGTGTGTGTCTTTGCAATAATAGAGTGTGTGAGAAATCTTCTTCCATGCCAAAAACACAAAAAAAAAAAATCAATTCTCTTTTTTTTTTTCTAAATTGAACAGCAAAAATTTTCTTTCTTTCTTATTTCATGTGCTGCTGCTGCTACTACTACTGTATTATTATTATTATTATTATTATTATTATCCACATTGCTGATGATAGGATGTGTTGTCCGTCCTTCGAATGACGCGTTGGGTCTCTCGAGTTCCTTCCATTGTCTATCGAAATGATAATGTTGACTTTAGATATACATGTAAACCCTCTTTACTAGTTTCTTCTGCACAAATGTCTGATGTCGGTTCTTGATTTTTTTTTTTTCATTTTGTTCATTGCGCAATAATTTTCTTCTTTTATTGAATGCACAAAAAAAAAATAATGTTTGTTTTCTCTTCTTTTTTCTTCTTCTTCTTCTTCTTTTTCACAACAGTGAAATTACAACGACTAGATCAATGGATCTCATGACAAAAATAATGACGACGAAAAACAAAAAAATTATTGTGCGTGTGTGCGGCTTACGATAAAAAAAAACTTATATATATACATTGTTTACAGTGATGCTGCGAACAAATATACACACTGTATTCTATCTTATCGTTGTGTGCTAGTCCTCTCTTGTGTTTTTTTTTGTTCTTTTATTTCCCATGCTGACCATGTCCGGTGTTTGTTTATCTCGCTTCCAGTAACATGCGTTTATCTATTTGTCCCCCATTTAATCAACACCATCATCACATTATCATCAGGGATTGAAGCTTCTTCAGTCAAAACAGTGAATAGACTTTTTTTTTTTTGTTGTCCCATAGTCGTTTTCTATTAGAAGCCAAAAAAAATGCGAAAAGTACATAGAAAGCCTTTCGTCTCGTTAGAAACGAAACAAAAGAAGACTAATGCAAACACTTCTTTTTCTCTCTTTCTCTATTTGTTTTGAATGCTCATTTTCTTCTTTTTTTTTCTGTCTAAAACAATAACTCAGATATTTCTTGTTCTTTCGACATACATATATATATATATATAAATAGAAATTATAAAAAAAAAAAAAAAAAAAAATTCATACGTCGATAAATAAATAGCAAACGAAATATAATGAAGAGCTAAATTGTTGGATTTTGTTTTGGTCTATTCTCTCTCTTTCTCTCTCTTTGTTCCGGTGTGTGTTTGTCTCGTTTTCTTTTTGTGCGTTGGGTGCTTGTTTGAATATGCGTGAGATATCGAGTTTTACGCATTCTCCATCTTTAACCTTATTGCACATTTGTGCGCATTTTTTTTGCTTCGTCAGTCATTTCATATTACAGTTATATACAACTATTAAGATGCGCACATTCGTGCGATTTTTTTGTGTGCGACTATGTGTATATATTATTTTTTTTTTTTTTTGCTGTCGCCTCATTCAAATAATCCTTCCAAATTCAGTGCATTTTCGCTGCTATACGCCAGTGAACTTTATCTCCTTTGTTTGTTTTTTTCTTCATCTTGCTCGTCTTTCCAAAATAGAAAAAGAAACACGGAAATAGAGAAAAGCTATAGGAAAACAAAACTATATTGAATTCTATGAGCTTTTTTCAGTCATTATATCTCTCTCTTTTGCTCTTGCTCTTTTTTTCTTTTTGCTCGCTCTTTTTCTTTCGATTGTTCTGAAATGATCAAAAAAAAAAAAATAAAGAAAATAAAGAAAACATATATGCTGTTATTTCTATATTTATCTCTCATCTGTGCGCGATTGTGTTATTGTGGTTATTGGTCGTTTGTTTTTTTTTTTTTTTTCTTGTGTATTTGTTCTCTGTCGCTTTAATGAACTCAATCAATGTAAAATTCACGCGCAAATTTAAATAAAAATAACAGAATTTTAGAAAAAAAAAAATTTTATTTTTGAATTTTGATGAGTAATATTGGTTTCGTTGAACAATAAAATTATATCTATAGAACTTCTATATTAATCTATTCGTGGTGATATGAATATGGCTTTCTCATAATTCGTGAAAGGCTTCATTGTTTTATTTGTAGTAAATGTAGCATTTCAACACAATTTTTATCGATGTTTCTCTTATCAATATGAGCTATGGATATTTCTCTATCAACGGTAAAAAAATCAGCTCTTTTGGACAAAGAATGGCACAGATATTCAATTTTTTCTACGATAAACGAACTTTTGGACCATCCTATAGTGGGACCCATCGCTGCGAAAGGGTTAAAATAGGGATTCTTATATCTTTGATAAAGTATATTGAATAAGCAATACTTTTGATTGTTAATTAGCATTGTTATTTTAATCGAATATTGTTGTTTTTGTTTTTGTTTGGTTTATTATATTACACTCTGAAGTGTTTACATACAATTAGATAATGGTGGATTCAGATGCAATGATATCAAAGATCCCAGTTGTAACTTTAATTGTTTAAACCTTCTGTATTTTCTTTAATCTACGTTCCTGTAAAGGTTTATGTGAAACATGAAGTGGAGATTACAAGTTATTTATTACTGTAAGAAATCTATGCATTTGATTAACAGAGTCTGATGCCTTTTGGTTAGTGTTCTCACTCTCTTTTGACTGAAAAAGTATTCTAATGAGTCGTTTTCGTTCTTTTTGAATTGATTCCAGTAAAATATATTCTCAAGAAAACTTGACCTCTTCAGGTCTGATATGTAAATGTTACGCATTCTTTTAATTATGTATCGTTGTACGTAAATTTCCAAGGGTAGGTCTCCTGTAATTGTATATAAATCTTTTGCAGATATAAATAGACATCGATGTACTATTCTTAGAGTAGATTGAAATTTTCTGTTGAGTGTTTCTTGGTGTGTAATTGAATATTGTTCATTAATAGATAATTGATATTATTTGAATCTGATAGAGTTTTCAATCTTGATCGAGAGAGAGATTTATGTATTTTGATATTATATCTATCCCAGAAGGATGAATTACATGATGTGTATATTTATACAATAATCAAAGATTGAATAGGATATAATTGCAGAAAAACTATTAAATATTCAATCGTCTAAAGTATCAATCATTGAACAGTTTGAATATGAAAGAATTTATCTTACAATCGAAGGACTATCTATGACATAAAGCATGAATAATTGAATGACAGAAATAAATTTCTGGAAGATAGTATGTTTATGTAATAGAAAATAGACTTTTGACTAGTTTATTTACTAATATTTCTTCTATGCTACTGTCAAATCAACTATTCTCGTTTATGTAATATGTTATTTTTATGTAAAATTTGACTAGAGTTTCGTTGGATCAATAACTTCTTTTTGTTTTGAGTAAGAAATATTATTTCTACAGGCATAAAAATAATAATATGATAAAATCAAATTTTTTTTTATTATAAATTGGCAGGTTTTTTTTTGTGGGCACAAAATCGAATGTTAACACTTCTATTATCTGAGTTTATAGAGATAAGTTGATAGATTATCCATGAAGTTGGTCTTAATGACATTGATATTATCGATGTTATATTTATAGATTGTAGTTGTGTTTTCAGAATAGGACGTAGAGAATACTGAAATAACATAAAGTAACAATTCTTCTCCTAAGGTTTATTTGAAATCCAAATATAAAAATGAGTTCTTTTAACAAATCAAAATATTTCTTCTGTTTTTTGACATTAATTTCTCTAATCAAATGATCATATCATATAAAGGTGAATGAGAGTACAATGAAATATTTAACTTTTATTTTTTTTAAATGTTCTAATATCTTTTCGTGTCTAATCACAAATAATTATTCTTTCTTATCTCTTATTTATCTTGAGGCATAACACCATCTCTGATTTGATTCATGTGTTGTGTTTACATGAAAAGCAACCGTACATCTAGGTCTGTTTAGAAAAGGACTATTGTCGTCATCGATAAGTCAATGCCATACAAGAGAAAAGAGGACGGTCTCTATATGTATAGTCGTAAACATTATCCTCATCGTCAAGGGAATCTTTTTCTATGCATGTGGTAATAGAGAGATAATAGATCAATACCATTGACGTCGACAATCATATAAGAAAGGAAAGACGAAGCAGAAGAAGAAGAAGAAGAAAAAGAAGAAAAAACCATTGCCATCTGAAGGTGATAGCAAAAGCATAACATAATCGAGAATTGCGAATGAGACGAACGTTATTTTCTCATCAATCTAACTCAGTTCTCAACGCGTTGTCACATATCACAACACAATAATGGAATAACAATAAAAGTAATATATGTTTATTGGAATTCAAATTTTATTATAAGATTTAAAAATGATGAGTAGTATTCGTAATGTTCCTATTGATATAGCATCTACACGTATTTTACATTTTCTTCGAACACATAATTATGATGATTGTGCGATTTATATTAATCGTCTTAATTCTAATACATTCCGTAAAATTTTATCCAATCATTTATCAATTGATATATTACTCGCTCAGCTACCATTTTCAATTGAAGTTTTTGAAGTAATCTATTCAAAAATATTTATTTATGATCCAGATATATTTCCTATTCGAATACTTAAACCTGAAAAAATTATTTCAAAAATGATTAGTTTATTTGCATCAACATTTATTGAAAAATCAATAACAACACCAATAGCAGCACGATCATCATCATCATCATCATCTTTAATATCAAAAACAAAAGATATTGGTATGGATGATGAACGTTTATTAACAAATTTATCTAGTATACTTCGAATTATATCTTATGTACAACCAATTTTATTTAAACGTCTTTTACATCAAAAAGAAACTATTGATGAATGTATTCTTTATTTTGAACAATATTATTCAAATACAACAAATATATATCCATTAAAAAAATCTTCATCAACATCATCATTAATACAAAAAAATCTTGAAGGTACAATACGTCAAGAATTAGAATCAACAATTGTTTGTTGTCAACAAGCATTACATAATCTTGAAACAAAATCAACAACATCTAAAACTTTAACATCAACATATTCAACACCAATAACAACAAGAAAACGTTCATCTATATCAACAACACATACATCAAATTCATTTGATGATATTCAAAATCGTCTATATCAACATAAAGCTCTATTAAATTTAATTGAACCATATTTATCTCGTACAAAACTTCATGCAGTTATGGATAATCTTGGATATAAAGTTTCAATTGATAAACAAATATTACTTGCTTATTCTCATATAAAATCACATGAAAAACAACTTCCTTCTGGTGAACCACTTTTACCATTATTTAAACGATTTGCTTTTGCTTATGAACGTATGTAAAATATTGAAATAAAAAAAAAAACTTTAATTTAATTTAATTTAATTTTGATTATTTACAGGTATTATTCAATTATGGAGACGAGTAACTGATAGTACATTAATTGACGAATGCACTGATGATATTATAATTAATAATATATCTGCTACAGATTCTAGTGGATTTTATTTCGAACGATCACGTTCTCGTAAGTCTATTTCAACGATACTCATAATAATACGAATAATAACACCAAGTAACAGAGAAACAAAAAATGACGTATGTTTTCAGTCAAGATAGTCATTTTTCTTTTGTGTTATCAATTAATTTCTCAGTTTTCTATTTACCTTCCTAATTGATACAGAATGATGATGATACTATACAATAGAAGAGAAAATATTGAGATTCTTTTGTTTATACACAATTGGAGATTGCCATATTCACACAATCATTCGTTCTTTTTTATTGTACATAACATGTTTATCGAACAGCAGTAGTCTATCAAACAAGAAAATGATTTTTCTCCCTCTAGGTTCTTCTGACAAGCGGGTTGAATGAAGGAGAAAAACGAGTGAGTAGTATGGTAATTATCTAAACGACAAATAGGAAAGAATATGTAACTAAATATACTTCATCAAAAGAAAGTAATTATGTTATATCCACACAATTAATATATATATATATATATAATACATAAAAAAAAATGCACCTGCTTTTTCTTTACGAATTAGAAAGCAAAAACTATATATTTGATCGAAAAATTTCCAAATATTCTAAACTACTCTATATATATATATATATACACTTTACAATTGATAAACAAATGAAAGGGAGCAAGATGATCAACTAAACAAACATATATACACAATAGAAGTAAAAAAAGAAAAAGAATGTAGCAAGATGTATGTACCTTTGTGTATACCGCAGACATTTGCTTTTTCTGCTCTTTTCACCCATCATCATTCTTCGTCTATCATATACGAGTATATGCACACTCATTGTATTCTATTTATCTATATCAGTCTCATGACTTCCAGACAAAACAATTTTGTTGTTGTTGATTTTTAATGATTTCCTTTTTTTTTTGGATACATTGTGCAAATGACAACAATTACACTTAGATCGAAGAAACCCGTCGTGCACAGTAGTCATAATAATAACAATAAATTCATGCGTTATTCTGTTTTAGAAGAACCACGACCATGTCGAAATCGATATGGTAAGTACAATAGTTTCATGTTTTTTTGTTTTTTTGTTACTATATAGATTTTTATTTCTAATAAATTGATTTATTGATTGAATCAATCAACGAACGGATACAACAATGATTATTTGTTGATATGTCTAAGTTTATTCTTTATGAAATTATAGAATCCAATCAGAAAAAGAATAGAATCCGAGTTATTTGATGGCATGTTGACATGCGTACGTTCATTTTCTTCTAGATTATTGACAGTAGTCGCCTATATAGTTTTTTTTTTTTTCGACATTGACATATACCATAGAATGGTACATTGCACAGTGCCATGTCGTTCATTTTAAGCACGCTATCGTACTAATAGAGGGAGGAAAAAATCACTTATGATAAGATAATCAATTCATGATGATGAGAAATACCATCATCACAGCATTATTTTATCTTATTTTCTTTTTTGTCTTGATTATGAGAACAGAGATCAAATTTCTTTAGCTATTCGTCAATGGTACCATGTTCATTGTTTCTAATCGTAAATTCAATATTCACATTGATAAATAAAGGATTACTTAAGCATACGAAATTTTCATTGTCCTTGTTTGAGTATAAAATGAGTGAAAGCACGAACGACGATCAATTGACACTTTATTTTACTATGTTATGTTCGTCATCATCAGATACCATCATGCATAGATCGTTTAGATTTCCATCACCTAAGTTTTTATGTACTGGTAAGTTTTTTTTTTTTTTTCTTATCATAGCTAAATTAGATAATATTCTTCAATAGATATCATTTTTAATAAAAAAATGAAAATAAAATTTTGTTTTATTTTTAGACACCGACCTTCTATTATACAAAGATGATATGGCTTTTAAGAATGTACGACCAAGTAAGTTGATATTGCATGTCTATTTGAAACAAAAAATTTTTTTTTTTTTCAAATCTCAATATATATTTTAAAAATAATTTATATCATAAATAATTAGTTTTGTACGAATAAAAATCTCATCAAGAGAAATATATTACGATTGATATGATCCTATTTTGAATGTTTGTTTGTATTACTGCGCAATACCCAAAAGTATTGATAGTAGATTGTCGATTAGAGAAAAACTAATCGGTATATTGCGATAGAATAACAGTCAGAAAATAAATAATCGCTTAAGTATTAAACTACTGCTGGTAAACTGGTAGTTTTCTGTTCAGTTTGAATTATATGAGAATTCATCAAATTTTAAAGTTTGAATGTAAATCAGTAATGAACATTTATATATCGATAAAAGAGAAATAATTAATTAATTTTTAATTCTGATTTGAATGTTAAAAATAAGTTAGTGTAATAAGATGAGTGGAGTATTAATCGTAATGAAGTATTTAAGTGTATTAATATTATAATTTATTTTTAATTGGTTAGTACAATAAAAACCTTGAAAGTAAATCCATTAACATGTTTCTAAAACAAAAAATCAATTAATTCTAGTGATGGATTGATGAGAAACTGTCGAAAACGTCGTTTTATCCTTCTAAAAAGTATTTTTTAATTATGACCATATTCTTCTTCAAAGTGTTTTCTGTTCTTGCCGATTCTTTTAATGTACAACTAATCAATATCTTCGTTCGATTCCAACATTGTAATATTACTCGCATGTTAAGAGAAGATAACCTTGAAACATCAGAATGTTAATTGAAAAACTGTCATAAACTTAATAATGCAATCCTGTAATCAGATTAGTTTAGTCAATAACTATTGTTAATATGTTTATATGTTGATAAAGATTTAATCTATGTTGATAGCAATATAATTTATGAAAAATCATCGAAGTTTAAAACAATTATCAATTGTTTAGTCATGTTACCACTTAATTAATATTCAATATTAAAAATTTTTTGCAAAAAAAGAAAAAAAAAATTAATAATTTTTTTTCTTCTTTGATAATATTCTTCGTATAATAACAAAGTGAATACTAGTAGAGATATGCAATATATCTTAATGACATTGATATGTAGACGCGACGAAGATATATGTGTGTACAAGAGTATTTGTTTCTTTGACAAGAAAAGGTCATATTCTATTAGATTTCTGTAACATCTGTATACACATCACATAGTTCAATATTCTTCTTCTAATATATATAATATTAGAAAATACATTTGGATATATTTAATAGCCTTCATTTTTTTTTGCCTTTCTATCTTCAAGAAGATATAATTTCTTGTCATTGTGCACGTATACTGAACAGAGATGAAAGAACATATATATATATATATTCTTCGCTCGATTACTCAAATAGTTGAGAGAACATCAGTAGGACATTATTTTCTTCTCCGCCTGATTGGATCTTGAGTTATTCTTGTGCTCAGTCGGAAATGTTTACCTCATAGCATTTGTATATATAATGATACGAGAAAGGGTCAAGACGAACGATTGAAGCATAAAATGATGCTGCTGCTGCTGCTGCTCTCCTTTTTTATTTCTACTAACATTCTCATATAAACAATGAATGGAGAAAACAAACATCAATATGCCAACAATAACAAGCTCAAGGTTATAATGATTTGTTGGTTTTTTTTTCCAGCACTGAATATTAGATATCCACAAGTAACAAATTCACATTTTGGGTCTTTTTATAATTATACAAGAAGAATCAATATACGTAATTTTCATTTGTTAAATAATATAACCCAATATGTAAGCTTTTTCTGGTGACAAATGAGCTTGATTATAGCTATCATTCATCCATTAATAAAATATCGCGCTTGTATGTTAAGCGAAAGGCGAGAAAGAGAGGTAGCACGTCACACAGATAGAAAAATGGAACAGAGAGAAAATGAGAGAGAGAGAGAAAGATATCGTTCTACTAAATATACACACGTACTCGCTCTTTACTCCTTATATATTCTATCACATAACGTGTCTACCGAACTTCATTAGAAAATAACATATACATATATATATTTTTTTCCTACTACTCGTCCACTTGCAATATTCAATATCAATACTAACTTTTCATCTTTTCAATAATATATAATCAATTTCCTATTGTCAAATATATTGAATATATTTTCCATATCATATTGGGAATAGCATCAAAATTAAGTCATTCAATATCAATATATTTATCCTATTTGAAGAAGGACAACAAATAAAGTCTCATAATAAAAATGTCAAATCTTGTTGAATTACAATTTTTTCATGCTCCACAACCACATATAATTAACACTCAAATTCAAAAACAACAACAACAACAACAACCTGCTAGCAAATTTGTCAATCGATATCTTTCTACAGCTGCACAATATCTTAATAGAACAAAGAGCTTTCATCTACCGACAACCAATAATAATCAAGAATATATAGCTGATAAAAATATACTTACAAATAATCTAGCAAAATCTACACCAGCTAATATGGATCAAATAAATACTTCAATAAATATAAATGTACATTCAAATGATTTATTAATGCCTATAAATGAAACAAATTCATCTAGTTTACCTTTAAATTATAATAATAATTCGATTGATGGCAATAAATCACAAGGTTTTGTCAATACATTACGTCGATCATTACGAAAAAATAAAGAACGTTTTTATAATAAACGATCGACAACGATGAAATCATGTCATTCATTGAATGCTTATGAACAAGCAATGAATAATCATCAAAATATTCATGCAAAAATATCAATGACACCAACTTTACTTTGTCGACATCAACGTTTAATAAATGATATTGAAAAATGTTCATTAAGAAATATTATAATGGATAACAATCATGATAATCAAATACGTAAGAAAAGAAAAAAAAACAAACAAGAACTATTTCAAGTTTTTCAACAATAGAGTTATTTTTGCGTATTGTTTAATATTTAATCGATTAGAAATGACATTTTTATAATGTATATTTGATTTCTTTTTGTGGAGAAAAGACAAACCCAAAAGAAATGATAGGCAATTATTAGTGTACTACAAATTTAGTCAGACATTTCTTCTGTCAATATCGTACTAAAATGCTTGTCATCATTATATTTCTTAAGTACTTTTTACCTTGAAAGGCATAACACAATAAATGCATAATGTAAGTGTTTTAGTAGAGAGGACTTGTATTCTGTTAGTTCATACATAATTTACGCAATAGGAACACTTAAAAATCGTTATAATAACTATTAAATCCTAAAGCAAAAAAAAAAACAATAAGGAAAGTTATTCATTCATTTTATTTTCTGCAACTATTGAATATACTTCAAAATAAATAGATTATCATATTAGTAATAAATAATATTATTTTGATATACTCTTTCTTTTTTTTATTATTATTATTCATTTAATATAACTATCGAAATCTGTTTATAATTTATATATAAACGATAAATATTAAATAAGTTATGAGTGTCAATTGTACACTATATTACATCAAACATATGTGTATATATCAAAACAATAGATACCACTTGTTATCTTCTATTGTTTGATAAATGTCTTTTAAATAAAAGGTTGAAATATAGACAGCTGTAGATGCCACTCTATTCATTTGATGTCTGTTATATATATATATATGTAGCTTCCAGTCGAGAATAAAAGAAAGAAGAAGAACCAGATTATCCGATAAATAGTACTTTGATTGACAATCGACATACTCTCGTCATGTAAAAAACAGATTTCAACATTTGTACACATACCAACAAGCATAGCAAGTACGTTATTGTTACAAGCTCGATTTCTTCTACTATTTGACGTCATCAACATCGAGTATTAGAATAGTTCGAGTATTCTTTCTTTTTTTTTTTTTTTCTTTCTTCTTCTCTTTCTTCTTTCTATTTTGTAACGAAGAAGCAGCAGAAGAAGAAAATAAACGAATTGATCCTTCTATGTATGTACATCTGTTTTGTTTTTGCTTCGAGTATTCATATAGAATCGAGAAAAGTAACAGTTATGTCTACAGCTTTATCATGCATGTATTACGATAAAACAAAATGTATGTTTATTTTTTATTTTATTTTATTGTTTTTTTATTAATCAATCTATATTCTATTTGATTTATTTATTTTTAGCTCCACTACAACCTTTAACAATCAATGGACGTGAACAACGAAATCGTCTATTAGCTAATGGACCTCTTGCTCAACAGCAATTAACATCTATTATACCACCGACAACATCTCTTCAATCTCTTTCACCTCTAAATACAACAATAAATTCACTAGGAAATATAACAGCAAATATGGAACAACAATCACTTAGTTCAGATTATGATGAAAAAGAAAAATTAAAAAATGATTTACAACAATTAAAAAATGAATTACAAAAATCAAAAGAAACTATAACACGATTACAAAAAAGTGAAGAACAAATGCGTGAACGGTAAAGTTCAAATGATAGAAGAAAAAAAAAACAAAAATTCTATTTTGTATTCTTATCTAAATGATAGATCAATTTTTTGAATAGAATAGAGAATATTTTCAATTTAGAACAATGAAATAAGCGTATATAGAACATTATTGAGCATAAATATTGGACAAAATTAAATATACAATATTATCATTATCTTCCTCTTTTTTTTTTTGGTAATTTATTTAAAACAAATCAAAAAACTTTATCAGTAAAATCAATCTTATCTAACCTTATCATACAATTTAATATGTCTAGATCAGATTTATATGAATGGTAGAGATGAATATCTATGAAGTTTAATTATGGAAAGTGTGTATAGTCATAGACAAACAAATCATATGATTAATAGAATTTTTACATTTTCTAAATCAATTATGACGGATCCTACTTCGCAGCTGAATTATTATTATTATTATATAGGATTGTAGAAAATCTTTTCTTGTGCGATTTATCTAGTCGAATAACAGAAAACTCTACGAAGAAAATATGTATCTGTATGACATTTATAGGTTAATCATATTGATTTATTAATTCTGAAACAAGAGAAAATACCAGAAACTATCTTATAGTTATTTGTTATTTACAAAAATGTTTTCTACATTACGTTTAAATGATTTATTATCTAATGTTAAATATTATCTGTAGAACTATTGTTTTTTGTCTATATAGATTAGCTGAACAAGCTCAACGTCAATTAGAAAAAGGTGGTAAATTTGAAGATTTAAATCAAATATCTCGTCCAACTGAATTAATTCGTTCATATAATTCTCTTTATTCTCAAGCACGAATCGATGCACTTGATGCATTAGATAATGTTCGTGAAATGTCTGATGCTGAAGATCTTAAATCAAAATTACTTTTTTCTGTTGTTGTTGTATGTTAAATTATTTTTAAGTTTTTTTTTTTTTATTTTATTTTATTTATTCTTTATTAGCTTGCTTTTCGTCATGCACAAAATCAAGCAAAAGATATACGAAATAAAATTAAACAAATTCTTCAATTAAGTAATGATAAAAATTCAATAACAATAGAAGAAACAATTGAAAAATATCTAAGAAGTACAATACAAAAATATGATGTTGGAAAAATTGCATATGTATATATACATATATATATGAAAACATAATGATTTTTTTGTTTTGCTTGTTTTAATAATTTTTATTATTTTAGGAAGTTGAAAATCAATTATGGGCTACATTATATGATTATCCAGTATTGAAAACTTGTAATGAATTACTTAAATATATTAATTCAGCATGTCGAACAGCGTATGTATCAATAAAAAAAATAAATGATTTGATTTACTCTATTGGGATTTATATTGATCTAGATTAATCTATTGATAGCATATGATACATTTGAATTGTACTGAAAGAAGGATATAATTCTGAAGCTTAAGTGTTTAGTTTGTTCGAAGTATGACTTTCGTTCTCACCATCTGTTAGATATCTATTTTTTAGCATAATATTCTCTGTTTCATGATAAGATGTATAATGAGTTTTATAGAAAAATCTCAGAAGTTACTGTTCGTCCCTTGTAATGAATATTCGAATCAATAGAATATAGAATAGAACAGAGATTGGACCAGATTTTTTAATCAAAAGTACACAGTAAAACTTATCCATGTGAACATCTTCTTATATTAGATAATTTCTAATCACCTCAAGGGAATTTTCCTGGGAATGAACATCTTCTTATTCTAAACAGAAGGCACATATTTCTGGTCTCATAAGCAATAACAACTTCCCTCATGTGAACAACATATGTTCTATCACTCACGTATAAAATGAGAAAAAAAGATGTTATATGTATTGCATTATAATAAATGATTATGGAATACATATAAAAAGAAAATTGACTGACTGTACGTATTTAAAAGAGAAAAAGAATAGTATTAGATAATAGCAACAGTGCTTTTGAATATATTTCTGATTTAAAAAAGTTGAATTAATAAATTGTTAGAAGTGAAGGAAAATATCACCTTAAACACTTTTGACCGGCCTTGATCGTGCCTACATTAAAGATATGAAGGAATATCACCAATTGATACCGTCTGTTTGAACTCATTGGCATAGCTCATAGAGTAGAGAACAAGACCAAAAAGATTCGTCTAGTCCGTAGAAACAGGTTTCTCTTCATGAAATATATCTTATTTAAATTTTCATGTTCCAGTACATTTATTTTCTTTCTGTATAGATCAAGTACATTCTCTCTTGTATCTTCTAGTGTACATTCGTAATATGAGTTTTAAAAAAAACACTCAGCTCGTAGAAATGTTCCTTTGTTGAGATACAAAAAAACACTTTTTAATAGAAAATACAGCAGTATCATTTTTACAAAAATTTGTTATGCTTGTTTCTTTGTAACAAAATAACATTGGAATGAATCTTATGAGTCTTGATCATGAGCTCAAACAGAGAGTATCAGTTGGTGATATTTCCTCGGTAGAGGTATAAGCCAATCGGCTGACGAGGAAACATTTCCAGGTATTTCGTTCGTTTATATATCATTCGATAGAGGACTTCGAGTGGGTAAAAAGTCTAAAAGAGTTTTGATCGACAGCTTTTTCTTCGGAAGTTACAACCAGTTTTCTGATTTTCCAAGCGAAAACTAGTATAAAAAGACAAACTTATAGAGAGTCGAAATTTGTTTTGGTGGTAGTCTTAAGAGTTCTCTATATATTCTGAAAGTTTCACAATACTATCACTCTCTTTTTTCGAGATAAGTAATGGTGAAGATATGGGCAACATTCACACCCTTACTTATAGAAATGTCTTATAACTCGAGAAAAGAGAGTGATAGTATTGTGAAACTTTCAGAATATATAGAGAACTCTTAAGACTACCACCAAAACAAATTTCGGCTCTCTATGAATTTTTCTTTCTATGCTAGTTTTTGCTTGAAAAATTGGTCGTAACTCCCGAAGAAAAAGCTGTCGACCGTAACCCTTTTGAGTTTTTTTACCTAGTCGAGGTCCTCTATCGAACGAAATTGGAGCGAGACACCTGAAAATGTTCCTTCATCAGCCGCTGTCACGACACGAAAGTAGATATTCGATTATTAAAAATTTCCGTCGTTCCAAATCATTTTTTAAAAATGTTACCGTCTGATTTCTTGTCAATAAGTTCTCTATTATCGTTTTTTTCTCTTTCAAAATTTCAGCTGCCAACGCCGATCAATAATATCGGCTTACACTTTTAGTTTAGTATATTTCACATTATACTTGAATTTTATATTAATTTCATTATTTAAAAAAATTCTATATTTATTATAGATGGGGCCTTGTCAATCAAAATCCACCTTTTTATATTGAATTTCAAACAATAAAATATGATAAACAAATTCATGAACGTTTTCATACATCTGATAATGAAAGTGACACAATTATTGAATATATATGGCCATGTTTAATTGATGGACGTGATCGAATATGTGTTGCAAAAGGTGTTGTTATAACTGATGAACGTTATTTATCAATATCAAAAAATATTTCATCTTAGCATTATTTTTTTGTTTTGATGATTTAATAATAATAACAATATCCCGAATAGCAACGTTATTCTTCTAGTCAGTCGATTATCGACGACATTCCATACCAACAAAAAAACAAAAACAAAAAAAAAATGAACTATAATAAACATCATTTTTCCCTTTAATGTTTCTTTTTTTTTTTTGTTTCACGTGTTTGTGTGTGTGTGTGTGTTGCAGATCAAATTATTTAGACAGAATGACAAATATTAAATTTCTTGTTTTTATCTTTGTACTTTTATTCTTCGGAAATAGAATTATTAATATGTTCGGATTTTTTTCGTTTTCGTCCTGATATAGATGATGTATCCATATCTTCATTAATTTCATCTGTTTTAGGTATTGATGATATTGTAGATAAATAATCGATAGTAAAGATATTATTTTCAACACTAAAAAAAAGAGAATTAATTATTTGCGTGTTTAGCTTTTTGTTGTTTTATTTAACTTACATTTTACCTAAACTATCATGTTTTAATGTAAGATTTTTTTCTAAATTACATAATGTTGTTAAGATTTTTGTTGAATTTGGTTTAAGATTATTTGTATGATTCATTAAAATATTATAAATCCATGATAGATAAAAAGCAAAATGTCGAGAATATTGAATTTGTTCACTAATAAAATTTAGTAATAATTCAACATATAGAAGTGGTAATGATCGACAAATATGTTCAACTAAATAAATAAATAAATAAATAAATCATTATTTATATTATGTAATCAAATCAATGGTTTGATTACAAAGAAAAAAATTATTGATAAATAGATTATTCTTTTCATATGATTTATGTTGATTATTAAGATAATAAATATAGAACTATTGAACATTGTCAAAATAATTTTGATATTTTCTTTTTTATTATCAGTATGAAAGAGAAAGTATCGCTATTTTATTACAAAGGAATGTTGACAAACATTTTTGATATACAATCAAAGATTATATAATAATAACGATTCGCTATAAAATATGAACTATCTCCATATTACATTTCTGATAAAGAAAATATGTCCCAAAATAGATAGAATAAAACAATTCCTCTGTGATTAGCAACAGTTACCACATCGTGCTTCATATTTTAATTCCACAGAGATTGAGTTAATAGCTTTTGTTATTGAGAAGCGAAGAAGAGATCAGATCTCGAAATTGGACCACTTTTTATGGACTGGCCCGAAGAAATTTTCGTTTACAAAATTTTTTTTTTCCGACAAAGAGCTATTGCATATTTTTCGTCTTTGAGAAAAAAGTGTTGACCGAGTGTTAGCAGTTAATCCTGATAGGATTATGTGTTTTCTTTTGCGTTCTCGTTCTTCTTGTTAGTTATTTCTTTGATGTGATATATCTGGGGTCATTTTTTCTGTATTTTGTATTTCTGAATCTAATTCATACGTGTATATATATATATATATATGCGCTTTTCTTTCTGTTCTAGTTGATTCGTTATGTAGCGTACGAGGGAAGGTCTCCAAATGTGAGTCATCGTTTCGAATCTGGTATTTGCCATTTTGTAGATCTCACTGAGTACAACATGTAATATAAAGGGTTCGTCCCAATACTGGACTTTTAAGGGACTACGAGTTCCATAATAACTGGTGATAAAGTATAAATGGTATTTTTCATATTATGTCTTGACGTAGAGAGTTGAAATTTTTATCACATATATATTTAATCAAGATCTTTTATTCCTGAAAGTTTCAGGTCTCTACGTCAAGACATAATATGAAAAATATCATTTACACTTTATCACCAGCTATTATGGAATATCCTTTATGGTACCTTGTAGTCCCTTAAAAGTCCAGTATCAGGACGAACTCTTTATATTATATATTGTACTCAGTGAGATCTACAAAATGGCAAATACCAGATTCAAAATGATGACTCACATTTGGAGACCTTCCCTCGTTAGTTGTTATGTGTGTGTAAGGAATTTTTTGATTTAGTAAAAATAAAAGAAAAAGGTCAAACATCTTTTTCTCCTAACACCGGAAGACGGGGTAGCACGGAAACTTTTCCCTTCAAAGGTGAGTCTAAATGTTAAAAAAGGATAAAATCATCGGGCCGGGCGACCCAACAGCGTTGTCGGTCCACCGGGCCGGGTGGCTCATTTCAAGGTCTGGTATGCACTAACTAGACTGAGTTCGTGATCGATAAACTAAAACTACACATTCCTATTTAGGCTATGATTTTTCTTTTAACTTTAGAAAAATGGCAGAGGATTTTTTGTGAAACTATCCAATCTCTTTGAAATAACATATTATTTTTTCTTACTTTTATTCGAATCAATATTTTCAATAATTTCAGTAATTAATGATTTTTCATTAAGTTTAAGTGCCATAAGTAATGCCATATATGAATCATTTTTATCGTAAAGTGTTTGTCGAATAGTTAATGGTGTTATTGTTTCATTTAAATCAATTGGATCAAACATAGCTGTATTATCAATTGAATAAATAAGTAAACCTTCTGTTGTACATGCTGCCCATGCACGTCCTACAGTTTCCCAAAAAAAAAAAAAAAAAAAATTAACATATCATTGATTTTTATTTTACCTGTTGGTGAAAATCGTACACAAGTAACTAAAATTTCTGGTTTAAAATGTCGACCACTATGATCACCTTTTCGTACACCAGGTAAACGAATATTTTTTCCATTTTCATCTTCATCTTGACCCATATCAATTAAAGCTAAACTACCAAATTCAGTCATTTTTCGTCGATTAAGATATTCCTTTAAAATTATATATTATTTTTCTATTATAACGAAAAAAAAAAAATCTTACATTTAATCCATCAAAACTTTTATTACAAGTTATTTCAAAACGTTTAACAAGAATTTGTTCATGAATATTATAAAGTGATATATATTTTGAACGACCACCAGCTAATAAATAATTACCATCAAGTGTATATGAAATACTTCGATATGCTCTATAGATCAACAAAAAAAAAAAAAAAAAAGACTTTCATATTAAAATCAAATATGTTTTGTTTTTATCTAACCTTCCAAATGTAAGTTTTTTTCCTGTAACTTTATCTGTATCTTTTCTTGCATAACCTAAATCATATTTGCCTTCAATTGATGCCATTTGTTGACCAGTATCAGGATGAAAAAAAAGTATTTGTGCATCAACAGTTGATACAGCTATTTGTTGACCATCAGGACGAAAAGCACAAGATAATGCTAAGAAAAAAATTTTTTTTTATATAAATAAAAAAAAAATTATTTATTTCAAACCATCAGTTGATAATAGAAATGTTTCTCTTGCACCTTGACTATCAAATAAATTCCATGTTCTTAATGTTTTATCCCATGAAGAACTAGCTAATGTTGTTTGTGTTGTATTACGACCAAATGTTAATCCACTTATTGGACCTTCATGTCCACTAAGAATCTAAATTAGAAAATTTATTTATTATTAATTCAAAATAAAGAAAAAAATATCAAATTTACATCAAGTAATTTTCCAGTTTTAATTGACCATACAAATATATTAAATGTATCAAAACCACCAGCACATACAACTTCACCAGCAATATCTAATGCTACACATGAAAATTGAACTGGTGTTGGAGATGTATATGTTCGAAAATTTCGATATCTTTAAAAAGAAAAGTTATTAAAAAACAAAAAATAAAAAATAAAGTTTATTATTATCTAACCTTAAAAGATCATAAGCACGAACAGTTCCATCAAGTGAACTTGATACAATAAATTGTCCATTTGATGCAAATTCAAGTCCAGTTATTGTTGATGTATGTTCAGAAAAAGTTACAAAACAAAAACCATTCGATGTATTCCATAATTTGATCTATATTTAAAAAATTTTTGTAGACTGCACTGATAAGCTTTAAAAAAAAGACTATAACTAACTTTTCCATCATCACCACCACTAGCTATATGCATTCCATCAGGTGAATAAGTTAATTGTGTCATATTATTAAAATGTCCTTGTTGTTTAAGTACATATGTTTGACTTTGCCATTCCCATACAACAAGTTGACCAAGATTTTGACAAGCTAATGCAATCCAATCACCTAATGGACTAAATAATGTTGATGTAATCATTTGTTGTTGATCACCAATACTAGAATATATAAATATTTTGAATTTTCAAAACAAAAAAAAAATTTCTAAACCTTAATGAATGAATAATATTAAAATCAGGCATTTCATGAAGATAAAAATGTCCATTAGAAAATCCAGCTACTAACATATGTGTTTTTTGATGATAATCAGCACAAAGAAGTAAAGCACTACGATCAGCACCTTCAAATGTTTCTTTATAATTAAATCTATGAAATAGGAAAAAAAAACAACATGGAAAGAAATTGATTTTTTTTTGAATATAAAATGGACCGCAAAAATTTTAGACACTTGTATTTTTGAAGTTTTTCATCGAAGATAAAGTAGCTAGGTCAAATCCAAATCATTATTTGGATTTGACCTAGCTACTTTATCTTCGATGAAAAACTTCAAAAATAAATGTGTCTTAAACTTTTGCAGTCCACTTTACTTGTTGATTCGTTTGAAAACAACCATATCATCTTTAGTTGGATTTTTAAGAAGATGTTGATCTAAACGTTTTTGTTTTCGTTCAAGTTTAGCTCGTTGTCGTTCAACAGTATCATCTAATTGTTCATCATCATCATCATGACCATTTGATGATGTTGGCATTTCATCATCATCATCATCTTCATCTTCATCATATATATATGGCATAGGTTCCATAGATGCTAAATCCATATCAGCTACCCAATAGTTTACTTTAGCATTTTTACAAATAGTCATGATCTATTTTAATAAATTATTTCTCAAAATAAAAAATTATTTGTATAACATACATTGAGTGAATCTTGTTCAAAAAAAGCACCGACTATTTCACGACCATGACCAGCTAATGTAAATCGATGTAATTTATTAAGTAAAGGTACACTAAATATTTGTGTTGTCATATCTGCACTACCAACAGCA